AAGAATAAATGGTGCATTATGCGCATCATGCATGAAACGGAACGCAGCCATAGAGAATGGACTGCGCGATTCGTGGTCAAAGTGGTCGATAAAAGTAAGAGAGAGGGACCGTGAAACACGGCCAATTTGTATTTCTTTCCATTCAACGGTATAATGGGAGAGAGAATGAGAGGGAAATTGGCCGTCTTCCATGGTCCCTCTCTCTCATTATTGTCGACCATATTTGATACACTCTCTAATAGCGGAATCTTGTAATTTACACTATATAATGTAAATAAATATAAATTTTCAGTATTATATGTTAGGATAGTAATGTATATCAGAACATAACCTTTCATAATTTACCATTTTGCGTCAAAAAGCTGTGCAGAAGATTATTACGCAGGAGTCTGGAGATTCAAACTTCCGCAGTAATCAGCAGTAATCTGCACAGATGTTCGACGCTCGAATATAATGGCACCTTTAGGCTGCGTTCCGTTACACGCATGATGCATCTTTTATCCTTGTTATTCAGCAAATGTTAAATAAGGATAAATGATGCATTATGCACATCATGCGTGAAACGGAACGCAGCCTAAAGCCGGCAGCACACGATGCTTGTTTTCTTGCTGGATTGCTAGCTAGAATAAATTCTTGCCACCGTATTGGTTACGATGCTGACACTATCAGTACCGCGGCCAATACGATGGTAAAATTCTAATCTAGCTAGGAATCCAGCAGGAAAACAAGCATCGTGTGCGGCAGGCTTAAAGATGCCATTACATGCAAGCGTCGAGCGTCGAGCATCTGCGCAGAAGATTACTGCTGATTACTGAGCAGAAGTTTGAATCTTCAGACTCCTGCGTAAAGCTGATTCTACATTAGTCGCATCGCAGCGTCGCAAACGTTGCGGTCCAATCAACGTCAAGCTAGCTCGACTCTTGCTGATTGGACCGCAATACTTGCGACACGCTTACGACGCTGCGATGCGACTAATGTAGAATCAGCTTAATAATCTTCTGCACAACTTCTTGACGCAAAATGATAAATTATGAGAAGTTATATTCTGATATACATTACTATCCTAACATATATAATGCTGAAAATTTATATTTATTTACATTATATATATAATGTAAACTACAAAATTTCACTATTAGAGTGTATCTCGTACATTAAATTCAATTTCAGTAAAATATTATATTAAATGTATCACTGCGTAGGTGCTCTGACGCTCGACGCTGCCATGTATGTACCCCGGATCCACCCCGGATCTACAATAGAGTTTTAAACCTTAAGTCATAAGAAATGGGCGAATCACAGTCGATTATTCCCCTTGGATTTGACTAAGTCCGGATCTACAATAGGTGTTTTAAGCCTTAAGTCGTAAGAAATTGACCAATTACAGTCGAATTCGAGGAGAATAATCGATTATGATTCGTCCATTTCTTATGGATTAGTCAATTCGTAAAATTCTTTGTTCCGATTGATCGCTCAAATGCTTCGAAGCGTTTGTAGCGTCAAGTGGACCGCAGCTATTCTATAGGTTTGTTCGCAAGCTCCACACGCTCCAACTAGAGTTCTAGATTTATCAGAGGGGCGCAACCGGCTTAAGTCAGTATGACAAAAGTACTAGGGAGGGTACTAAACATGGCTGACATGCTATGAAACTGCCTTTAAACTGTCAAATAAGATAAGACAAAGTAATATAAAATTATATTTAAAT